AGGTAACTAAAAATCTTAAATTACATACAATATTATATAAGGAATTATATACACTACCCTACAAAAAGTATTCAGATTTTATAAATTTTACTTAGTAAAACATAGTAAAATTAATGATTTTCAAGTTGCATGAAAATTTGTGAATTTTCAGTAAAACCCATCCGAAATTTTTTTATTTGAAAGCCAATCAATTATAGTTTTTAAAAATATAATCAGAAATATTTTATCTTTAAAATGCAAAAAAATGTTAGTCTATAAAGTAATAGACAGGATAATTTTATATGTAAAAACGCAAAAAACATATATAAAAATTGTTACCTATATTTTACAATGAGAACATTTTTTTATGTTAAAAAAAAACTTCTTTTTTTGTTTCAATACTTTAAAACTACAATTGATCAGCTTCATAATAAAAAAAATTTCAGGAGGATTTACTGAAAATCCGTAAACTTTTGTGCAACCTGAAAATCATCAATTTTACTATGTTTTACTAAGTAAAATTTATAAAATCTGAATACTTTTTGTAGGGTAGTGTATATAATATATCTTACTTAAGGGGGGAGAGGTAAACTCTTATATTAAAGTGATATTAGATAATTTCTGACAGTGCCCTAATCAATTGCACATATTAAACAGTTAATTTATAAGAAGAAGAAATTTGTTTAAGATTAAAAAAAATAATTTTTAAGAAAATGCAAAATTTGATTTCACTTTATTAAAGTTTTTTTTTAATAAAAATTTTAAAATTTTGTCATGATTAATATTAAATCAATATTTATTAATATATTTATTATTTAAATTAAAATTTTGCACCAGTATTTATAACTCTGATCAAATTGTAATTTTTAACCAGAATTAAATAGTGATAATTGTCAGTAGTAATAATCACTACTGGTGAGATTTAGCAATATCCTAATTAAAAATATTACTCTTATTGCAAAGTAATAGGTATATATAATCATAGATTAAAAAAGTATTATTGTCTAAATTTCAAAAAATTTAAATTCTACATTTTTTTGGAAAATAATGGAAAATTGTAGAAATATTGCATTACGCTAAACAATTTTTTGGAATAGTATTGTTATAATATTATCCAATTTAGTAAATTTTATAAACTTCAAATGTAATATCATCATAATATTTTATAATATTATTATAATACCTTATAAAAAGTATTTATATTTAAAATATATTTAAAATATATTTAAAATATACTTTACAGAAACTTTAAGTTTTCAAGTGATATTATTTCAATATCATTTCAATATCATTTCAATATCGATTTAATATCGATACGATATCGAAATAAAGTATTATTACTGCGATATCATTTTGATATTAAATTGATATTGAAATGATATCAAAATGATAATAAAAATGATATTGAAACAACATCTTTAAGTAAATCAATATTAAAATGATATTGAAATGATATTGAAATGATACCGTTAAGATAAACTTAATGATATCGATTCTATATTGATTAAAAATGGTAAGTTTCTGTAAAGTACTTAAAATATATTTAATTTAAAAATTGCGAAATACTTATAATATACTTAAAATATATTAAAAATATATTATAAGTATTTTGCAATTTTTAAATTAAGTATATTTTAAATATATTTTAAATATATTTTAAATATAATACTTTTTATAAAGATATTATTAATCAAATTTTACTTTTTTTTTGTCAAATATTCTGATTTTCTGATAAATAGTGCATTTTTTATGAAAATTCCATATTTTTTATCAAATGTTATATTTTTTAGTAAATTTCATATTTTTTTTAGTCAAATATTACATTTTTTTATTAAAATGTTATTTTTTTAAATAAAATGTTATGTTTTTTTTGTAAAATGCAATATACTATTATTAAATATTATTTATTGAACATTAAATAACAAAAATTATAAATCACAATTAGTATTCAATATTACAATTATATGTATTAATTATTTTTTATTTATTATATAATTTTTTATTTTATATTATTAATAGTCTAATTAAGATATTTTTATTAAAGCTCTGAACGGGTCGGTTTGGTCCAGATTATAGACGGTTCGGATTAGAGCTAAAATCCATAAGAACTGAACCAAAAAACTGGCAGTTCAGTTCGGTTTAATCCGATTTTTATAAAAATGTGAAAAATTGAATAGCTGTCCATCTAGTGATCGTACAAAGTCAAGCCATATATCATTGGATTCGTCTCGATGAGACGCGTCAAATGGTGGTAAGATCATGTCTTTAGCATTGATAGATTACATGTTAATCCACGCTAAATGATTTATAAATAATTGGAATTATTAAGCTATCTATCGATGCTAGAGATATGATCTTAGCGTCATTCGACGCATCTCAGTGAGACGAATCTAATGAATATAAATTCGTCCATGTACGACCACTGGATGGCGAATAATGTTAAGTTTCACATTTTTTTAAAATTTTTGAGCATTAAAAATTAAAAATTCCGATACATAAATTTATTCGTTGTCCAATGGTCGTACAAATATGAATTAGAACTCATTGGATTCGTCTCGATAAGACGAGTCGAATAGTAGTGAGATCATGTCTCTAGCATCAATAGATCATAAGTTAATTCACACTAAATGATTTATAAAAAATTGGCATTAGCAAGTTATCTATCGATGCTAGAGACGTGATCTTACCACCATTCGACTCGTCTCATTGAGACGAATCCAATAAGTCCTAATTCATATTTGTACGACCATTGGATAATGAATAAATTCATGTATTGGAATTTTTAATTTTTAACGCTCAAAAATTTTAAAAAAATGCGAAACTTGACATTATTCGCTATCCAGTAGTCATACACAAACGAATTTATATTCATTGGATTCGTCTCACTGAGACGCGTCGAATGACGCTAAGATCATGTCTCTAGCATCGATAGATAGCTTGATAATTCCAATTATTGATAAATTATTTAGCGTGGGTTAACGTGTGATCTATTGATGCTAGAGATACGATCTTACCACCATTCGACGCGTCTCATTGAGACGAATCCAATGATATATGGCTCGGCTTTGTACGATCACTAGATGGGCGTCTATTGGATTTTTCACATTTTTATAAAAAATCAGATTAAACTGAACTGAACCGCCAGTTTTTCAGTTCTAATATCCGAACCGAACTGAACCGAATTTTGAGCCAGTTTCAGATCAGTTCCCCAATTTAGTGGAATTTTTAACATATATTATTAAAAAGTAAGCATATTTTAATAAAATATAAAGTAAAATAAAAATTTATATAGTCTTAGTAGCTATAAATGTTTATAAAAGTATAATAAAAATATCATATAAAAGATGGTATCATAATAGATATTTTCAAACAATAAAAATAATTATTTTATGTCAGAATTT